GTGGGACTACTTCCACACTGCAAGAGTTAAGTGCTCGTTTTGTCCTTACCTGATCCCAGCCCAAGCGACGGTCAGAGCTCACCTCTCTCCCTACTGCGTCCTCATGGTCTTTAGACCAATGGAGCCCAGGAGAGAAGAGGCTGCAGGGGCCAGTCTAGCAGCCCATGGGAGTCAGGATCAAGTAAGCAAGTAAGCTTTATTCCAGCCCGTAGACCGAAAAAAAACCACTGAACCCTTGCAGTGCAGGGGAAGCCCCACTGCAATGGCAAATTTGTCCAGAGTTCCTTAATCTGCTGGCTTTCCTCTGGGTAGCAGTAGAGCCACCAACACTTCTACTGTACATACTGGCAAAGCGGCATCCCCTATCCTGTCCTGGTACCCACCTTTGTGGTTTCTGAGCCCAAAGATGAAGAGCAGTGGGATATCTACTCTGCATTTAATAAACCCAGAAGATTGGAGCTCAGAGCACTTCATTGTACTGGTGGCTCGGGCCAATCAAAGAGACCCTGTAAATCAGACCATTTATGTCAAAGACAATCGTCCTATAAGATATCTGCATTCAATGTATTTTATGCATGTAATTTACCTTTAAAACCTTCCTTGTGTAGACATCCAAAAGGCCAGAGACTGTTGCTGGGAGTGGTCATCATGGATGTGCCATCAGGAGACCTATCAGACTCAAGAGCCGTCACTCAAATTACACTCTATGCCAGTGGTTCTCAACCTGTGTAACCTCAGGACCCACATTTGTCCTTGGTCATTAAGTATCGACCCAAGTTGCATTGCAATGTTCCATGTTGCGGTACTGCTCTTTCCGGTGCTGGCGATCGAACTGAGGGTGGGCGGCGAGTTTGGGTTGCCATTACGGAAATTGCGGTGGATCCTCAACCTGGGGTCCAGTGTGGTCTGCTGTGCTGGTGCTTCATCCATATGTGTATTGCTTGTAAAGCTACCGTTGGCGCCCGTAGAGATGTCGGGAGCCAGAATGTGATGAGCTGTAGCAATGCACATATGGATGGAGCTCCCTTGCAGCAATAGCCCCACCTTAAGTCAACACTCGGCATCGTATTTTTGAATGGCTGCTCTGCGCGACAACTGACAGTGCTGCTCTAGGGGGAGGCAGAGGAGCCTCTCACCTAGAAAAGTGGAAGGCATGTGGCGAACCCACTGGACATGGGGTCGCGACCCACTTTTGGGTCACGACCCACCAGATGAGAACCGAGGCTCTTTAGTATACCTCCATCACATCTTCCCCAGCAAGTACATAAACGTTTATGTACGCAAGGGAGCGGTGGGATGGAGGAGCTTGGCCAGCACGGACAGTAATTAGACACTCCCAGAAGAGTAGAGGGCTATTACGTGCAAGGCGAAACTGGCCATGCTAGGGAATTTACTCTTCCTCAAGTAGACAAATCTTATGCAAGTTCAAAGGCACATTGCAAGTGAATAAAAACAAAATCATTAAATGGACATTTCTGCCACAACAACGGTTATTTTTCTGTACTTGTGAGTAAATAAAGGGCTAAAACGTGGTGGAATCTGCATTTATTCCAGTGAGGTCCTAAATCTTTTTTTGTTGTTATTTTTGCCATAGGCTTTATCTTTAAAGTGATGAGATGTACAGGTATTGATGTCCATCAAGCCTTCCCATCCATTGGTCCCAAAGGTGTGTGCTTGTTCTCTGACCTCTGCAAAGCTTTACATTGGCCCATGCTTTGTGTGGAACATTTGGGCTCAACCATTCTACCGATTTACATTGCCTATCTTGGCAGAATCCCCCTGCCAGTGGCACTTTTCAAGAGAAACCAGAATCCAGCTGAGCATTAGAGCTTCATGCTAACGCAACACCTACCGCCTCTCAACAACCGAAGGAGGAACGATGAATGGGACAGGTCAGTAAACAGATTGAAAACACGGTTTTCAAGTTGAGCTGTTTTCCAAGATCCAGATATTCCGGATCTAACTTCATCTGCCCCACTAACTTCACATAAACATGCACGTTTAGGTAGACCAAATATCCATGTTTATGGCCCACTCATTTTACATAAAAATGTTAACCAGAAGTCTTTGGATGGTCAGATCATTCCTGCATTGGACTATACTGGACTGCCTCTGATTATAAGTGAGCCAGCACAGACATTGTGCTGCAGGGGGGACAGGAGTATTGGCGACACTGGAGCCTTCAGAATGGGTCACAAAATGATGCAAGCATATCATGGCAACCAGAAACAGCACCATGGACTGGGAAAGATAGCCTGAAGGCTATAAAAAA